AAACATGATCCCCACAACTTGACTTGTTTTGGATGCAGCATATACAAATGTATGTATGATTGGTGCTGCATTAGCACAGCAAAAAACATGATCCCCACATCTTGACTTATTTTGGATGCAGTACCTACAAATGTATGTGCTTCGCCGGAGAAACCAGCTGTTGTACAGACTGTTATTACTATTTTGTGTCTTAGCTTAAGAGGCATCTGAGACAAATGAGGTACATATTCACTTCACTCTGAACACTGGACAAATTCTAACATTTCAACTCCCAAGATCTCATTCCTAATTCTCCTTACTGTTTGCAATGCAACTCTTGTGATGTTAGTTTGGGGAATTTGGTATTGAATCAGCTAATAATCTCCTAACTGATATTTTTGTTAATTCCCATTACTTATCTTCTTGATACTGTAAAGAGAACTTCTGTAATCGTCACACACAGGAGAGTGGTTAAACAAAATCTAGTCATGCCTTGATATCTTTCAAGAGAAGGCAACATCAGAAATTTGAACATACTTAACTACCTTTATAAATGATTCAAAGTACTTAATGTCAACAACATCGAGCACTAATTAAGAGTCTAGCGACAATTGACATTTTTATACCTAAAATTAAGAGACACGTGGGATGTTCAACATTCAGCTATTTTATCAGTCAAATTTCAAATTAAAATGTCGAGATAAAAAAGGTGATCGTTAATCGTAAAGCATATATCCAAGAATCAAGTGTAATCAAATCATCTAAGTCAGAAGGAATGCAATGATATATTAGCATTCATGCAAGCCTGCAATTTTTATATTGAATACTACAAATGCTCGAAGATTCAACTTAGAAATAAATAACAAGATCCTTCAGTTGACGAACGCAAGATGAAATTGTTTGTGTTTACACGATTCATCGTGAGGTTTTGAGTAAACATAAACAGCAAGCACGCGAAAAAAGTGTTAATAAAAGACAAGAAATTATGTTTTAGGAAGCAAAACAAACTGTATGTTTGAAATCGAGGGCGAACTGTTTGCAACAAAACTCTCACCTTTAACCAGAACTCCTCGTCAAAAGGTTGCTCCAAATCATGTTCTTTTTTATCGCTGTTAGGTCGCTTTTCTTCCATCTGAACAGCTGTGTACTCGTTGTCTAAGTTTGCCATGCTGGATTCAGCTGCATTTAAGCCCAAAGCGACGGAATTCAATCGGTCATAACATTCCTCATGCCCAAATCAAACCGAAACACAACATGCACGCTTGACAAACCTGCTCTGTGATTGGTTACAATCACTGTGACCGGAAGCTAGATCAACTTCCGGCAACACTGCGGTAAGCAGAATACGAACCCTTAGTAAAATTTCTAAATTTGTCTTTGGAACATCAAATAGCGACTAGAAAAAGGTTAAAAGAGAACTTAAAATAAAGCACGACTATGAATTCCCTCTTTCATTAATTTTTTATTGCAAAACTCGTTACAACAAACTAATTTCACTGATATGTGGGCTCAGATGTAACGAATATAAAGAATTTTGCCAAAATCATGAAAATATTTATGAACTACCAACGTATAAAACAGGTAAATATTTATCATTCAAAATCTAATACAACTCGTCAGTAATAAACTACTTCGTGAAGAGTCAAGCTGTCTATCACAAGTTTTACCGTAACAGTGAAACGTCTTCAATCTGAGCTAAATTTTATTCGCTGTAAAAATGGCTAAATATGTATTTCTGTTTCTCAACCAAAGTTTAGAAGCTATAGCGACACCCTTTGACGGTAAAGACCGTTTCTGTCTTTATACTAAATGTTCAGGGCATAGAAAAATACTTACAGATTCAAATCCCTTTCAGAGAGAATCAGTTCTGTCCTAATTTGTCCCTTTGATCGCGGCGACAAGAGCATTCATTTTTTCCGACTTTTCAAAATCTTGCGGCCGTAACTTTTCCACGTCGGTAAACCCGAAGTGGAAATCTCTGGCATCAAGTGTAACTCGATCGATCCCCTTTGGAGGCCATTCAGAGGACATCTTTTCCCCAAACGAGATACTGAACACCTTTCCATGAAGATGGCCATTTTCATCAGCCAACTGCTTATCACGAAGTATAGTTTCCAACTGGGCGATAGCCTCCGATGTTAGGCAGATCAAAACAACGTTGTTCAACTCTTCAAGCCAGGAAAGCCCTTTTAAATCCTCTTTTTCGTCAGCGATGTTGACCAATTTCCTCACGCGAATGCCTCCATTGGCCGCTGTAGTCAAAGCGTCGCAGAAATTTCTCACGATTTTAAGCTGCTCTGCGCTTGACTTGTGAAGAAGGAGGATATTCTTTGTATCGCTCAAGGTTTTACCTCGTGAAGATGGCGGTTCAGGCTGTGAATCTGTTTTCTGTTGACTCTTTTGCTTCGCCGTTGAATCTGCGTTACCCATTTCTGAAATTACTAGTCGAGAGAAAAAAACCTCGTCAAAATCATAAATTTCTTCTAGAAGGAATAACGTTTTTAAATCGAGACTGGCTTCTTGCAACGTAAATTATATCTCATTATGTGTAATAATATGCAAAAATAACAAAAACGACGTTGAATTTATCATCTGACCGTAAAAAGGCAAAATAATCACAATACACCTGCTCTGTATGAATTAATAATTACTGCACTTCAAAAGATCTGAAACGATTCTTGTATTCAGTCATAAACTTCAAGTCGTATCAAAATTGATTCAGTTTATTTCTTCTGCTATAATCCTCTTCGTTTCGAAAATGAAAAAAAGAATTGATCGATAATTGATTCTAGAATAAACAAATTTTTACGTGTCTCCTCGTAACCGTAACGTGTAACTCGAAACCAGATCGTCAAGGCCCTGATTACAAGCAGGTAGGGTAACCCAAGTGCTAGGGTTACCGTGGCAGGAGGGTTACAATAATGCTCCCACATTTCTTCTTTTTTTCATTGACGTGTTTACAAGGCAGCTAGGGTTACCCTAGCTGCCTTGTAAACGCTCTGCTGGGGATAACTCGCCTACCCGGGACAACTTTTTACCTGTTTCCAGACCCTTTGAACATTGATAACAATGCGTGCGGTTACCAAGCATATGTAAGTCGTCCCGGGTGGTAGGGTAACCCTAGCACAAGGGTTACCCTCCTTGCTTGTAAACAGGGCCTAACACATGTATGCGACCAAAAGGGCGTCGTCTCAATTTATTTTTCGTTTTTTTTTTTTGTTTTTGTTTTTATTTACATGATATTAATCTATCATCCCTGAGCGATGGAAACGTTTCCTTCGAAAGTTACATACAGATCCTCTGGATAACTTTACATGAAGAAGCAATAGGAAAATACACAATTATCAATCCCATTTTTACACACATCCATAGAATACTGCATATCACGGAANTCAAATCAAATCTTTCCCTTGATGTACCCAAACTGGAAGCACTTTGAAATCCTTCTTTTACATCCATGTTAAGGCAGTGTTCCATGTGTCGTGACAAGCTGAAGTATCATTCCCCACTGTTTTTTTAGGTAAGGTTCAAGTATTTTTCCTTGTAATTCTAGTGCGCTTGCATGCAGAAACGTGTATTGCGTGTTCCAACCATATCCGTATCGAATAGCAGCTGTGGTCTTTTGTTTCCTGTCACGAATCTCTAGTGGTGATTAAAGATTGTAATCGGATTATATTCGGTCATTTTGATGTCGAACAAAAGGCCAACCAGTCAACGCTAAGGAACTAAGTGTCGTGCACAAGTCTTAGATCACGAAGAAACAATGATGCATGTTTGACAGTTTAGGTTTGCGGTCAGATGTAAGTATCTTGGGCGTTTGCGTGTGCTAGCAATAAAACTAGGGAACTTTGTAACATTAAGGAAAAATGCGTATGATGCACGATCCTTCGCAGTAGATAGCGCTATTTATGCAATAGCGAAAATCAGACCTGAAAAAAAATCAGGCCTGTACGGGACTCGAACCCCTGACCTCTGCGATACTAGTGAAGCGCTCTACCAATTGAGCTAACAAACCAACTGGGAGCAGGCCGTTAAGTTGATTCGTAATACACCCGTGATGATAAATCAGATACCGTGATGATAAATCAAATTAAGGAAAAATGATTAGAACAGTTGTGATGAGCGAAAGTATGACTACAATAAAGTGAAGAAAACGACAGGTACAGTCCTGAGTGTTTATTGAACCAGCTAGCGCGGAGATATTCCTGACGCAGTTGAAAAATTCCGCAAAACCATGGCTAATCTGAACGACAGGTGAGAAACAAAACTGGAAACTTATCCAGGTCACGCAAGGACCAAAGCTTAAAATATGTCTTCAATGGTTTCCGCCAAAAGTCACGCAACAAAAGGGAAAAATCGGAACAAAAATGCGAATTTAGCCAACTATTTGGCGAAAAAAACTTTGTTTAAATCGTTAATATTGGCAAAAAATAATTAATAAAATTTTACTTACAGGCAGCATAGAGAAACTTAGGTATTACACCCCGTCAACTTTGTGACCCTGGTCAGCCTATTTTGGAGAGCGTGACTGTAACGATGCGACTGTAAAATCGTTGAATGATCTACTTTCTGTTTAATCACAAATCAAGCAATTTTCTCACCGCAGATGTAAAAAATCCTTGCGAAGTGTAATTTTATTTGAAAGAGTACTCATGGCCTGACGTTGAGCACGGTTTTTCGATGAAATAACATAAACTCAACTTGGGCATTTAAATGGCACAACAACGATAATCGATTATCATAATATCAACCTTGAAATACTTCCCAGAACCAAGAAATCTTGATCAAATGTAATTACTTCTGATTTATGGCGAGAAGTGGGGGTAGGATGAGATCAAAAAATGTTCTGAAGCGCGCGAAAGTCATAAGATGTCGCCAGAAACCAACAGATTGTGCATCAACTTTGAACATGCAAATTTGCTCAAATCGCCCAAAAATACCGTAAACAAAACGGGTTTTAAGAAGATCGGAACGATTTTACTTACCAAATGACGATGACAGCGGCTGCAGAACTGTGCCACAGTCCTTCTTAAACTGTGCTAGCTTGGCAACGAAAATTAAAGGGTGTAGAACACGACAAATTGCGACGAAAGTGAAAGTGCTTGCGTGTCATGTGTAGGAATGTGAATCATTAATATGGGTTATTAATATCTTGACACGTCACATGAATTTTGATTTGAAATTCTGAGACAGAGGGCGCGATTTCGAAGGCCAGCGGGTGGATTTCTGAAAGTTGCGTCTCGGCGCGCTTAAAATTCCCTCTATTAATTTTCGCGAGGAAAGTTATTTCAAAATATCGCATTTTCTGCTTTTTTGGACTTGATCGAAGACAAATTGACAGAAATTATCGATTCTTCATCAATTTTAACTCCATATCACGTTAGATGGTGCTTGAAAATTCAGTACTAGAATGGGTGTGGTCGCCTCATAAAATTGAACCAATTTATTAACAGCGGAAAAGTTTTAATTTTCTTTCTTCAATTTGAACAATGTGTAAGATTAAGCATGAATTCACCTGCTCGACTTCATAATTTTGCTGCTTTGTCCACCTTTTTTTAACTTGTTCCAAAGGCTTTGTTCCGCTTTCTTGCCAAGCTCATTTAGATAGAGCACGCACACGATTCCCCCTTAGTTTTTGGGTTCGGGAGTTACACTGCAACCTGATCGTGTTCAAAAAGTATTTTTCACTTTTTGAATTTTTTTTCTGATCCGTTCTTAATCTTCCCCTTCTTCGGCCATCGTTGTTNGAAAAAGAAACATAGTAAACACAAGAGTTTCAACTTTTCCGTTTTCCTATTTACATGGAAGGAAACCAAACTAATTTTTTTTTTTTGCTTGCTTGCGTCAATCACGCGCATTCGCCATCAGATCATCAATGGCTCTTTTACTGTGTTTACGCGCAGTTTAAGTGCGATGTGAAAATTAATGGGAGGGTTATAAAATAAATATATCTCGTTCTGGCTTGCTGGTATGTCGGCTGATAATGGCCTTGGCTGATAGATTGTCCTCAAAATTTCATATTTGCCCTCGAAGCTTCGCTTCTCGGTCAAATAATCATTTTTCGGACAATCTCTCAGCCGCGGACATTATCAGCCGACATACCAACCGCCCGAAGGGGTTTATTTACTAAGTATACCCCACGTGATATTCTTCAATTTTACGTTTGATACGGAAAACTCTGTGCTTGATAAAAAAGCGTTGTGTGGTTGGTACAGAAGAAGGAACATGTTTTCTTGTTCATAAAATCTCATCAGTGAACGCTCAAAAATGAACATCCCACGCCGAAGCTGTTGGCATGTTCCGCGCGATTAAAAATATTATATTTGAAGGATAAAAAACATAATAGGCCGAAAGCTGAGGCAGATAATACAGATTGCAACGGTCGATAACAAGTATTAATTATTGAATGAGGTTGAGTGTTATACCATGAATTATCAATGCCGAAGTCAGAGTCATCTGTCATGATATCATGTGAAAACCGAGTTCAATAATTGTGTTATTATAAATTTAGTCAACAAGCTGTATAGGAAGACACTTCTCTTTGAGTACGCAAAAGTTTGAGAACACTACAAGGACGAGGGGCTTGGAAACTAGGCACACTTTGAACTCGACATCATGTCCCAATATCCTCTGCGGGTGTTGGGTTACCATGTCAACTTCACATGTTACTGTATATTGGCTGAACGCTCTCCACCAATCAGAGTTTCATCGCAAGTCTAATGTATGACAATTCGTGATGTCACGAGGAAACCGAATTCAATGATTGTTTTTTTTTTTTTTTTACATTTTGTTAAATGCCTATTCAGCCATCTTGAGTTTCTCTCTGAGCCTCACGAACAAGGGGCTTGGATACTAGACAGACTTTGAACGCGATATGATAAGAGTAAAATCCGCCGCAGATATTGCACTTTTCATGTCAACTTAACACGCTATTGTATATTGATTGAATACTCTTGACCAATCAGATTTTTCATAGAAAGTTCAATTCGTAATAAATATATCTTATTCCATGGTTTAACGTATAATACACGCAGATATTTCGCGAGTTGCGTTGTATTTTTCTGAGCCCCAGATATAACGTCATTTTCGAGATAGACAAAAAATCGCATCACCACCCACGGAACGTCTATTGCAAGTAAGCCCGACAAGTTCATCTGAATTATGACGGTTATGTCCGACTCAGCACAGTGCTGTGCAATGTAGGACAGCTCTGTGCGACACCGGGCGCTTTGGTCCAATTTAGGACACTTCCGTTCGATCCTGGAAAGGACAGGTTTCCCGAATAAAGATGAATCAAACACAATCCATTGTAAATATCAATTTACTTTAATTTACCTTTATGGCGAAAATTTTGAAATTGAACCATAAACCTAGCCATTTTCTGGTAACAAAAATAAAAACAATGGACTTCTCGAAATGAGGTCTTTAGTGTTAAAAAAAACAACAAAGATAAAAAAATTAAAAGGTAAAATTCCCGAAACGCATACGTAAATACAAGTACCAGGTCTGTTTAAAATTCACCTGTTTTGAACTGTTATGTTTAATTTAATATTTGTGTTTAATAAACTATAGCAACATAATATAAATATAAGGTAACCGAATTTAAAAAAAAAGTATTATGAACATAAACTATAAAATACTTCCAATACTTCTCAAATATTGTAAGAAATAGACAACTTTTTGGAGAAACATTTTTCGGCATGCTTATGCCATCTTCAATCGATGAGTAACAGAACGTGAGTGATTATATGAAACCCTAATTTCCGCTGAGTTTGACGTTCCTGACAATCTGGTAAACGTCAAAGCAAATTCTTTTCACTCCAAATT